TAAGTCTTTTATCTGGATCAAAGGAAAAACGGAGGGCTTAGCTTTTACTTTAAAGTAATTGGATTCAATTTCTTTATTTTATGCTGTGAGAAAAATTGAAGTTGAAACGTGCAGGAGATTTGTGGGAATGTAAAGTTTGATGAAAAGGTAAGGTATCTCTTATACCAAAATAAAAAAAAAATATTTATTTACTGATAAAATTAAAGAAAAATAAACAGAAACAATCAATAGATCAAGAATGAACTCAAATATATAACTACCTCTAACCTCAGAATATATGAGTCTTTGTCAATTGATGGTATCGGAGCCAAATGCAGAGTGAGAGAGTGTGCAGAGTGAAGAGAAATATACGCAACGCAACAGTCTTCCTTAGAAGCTGCAAGTGTCGGAGAATAAGTCGATCTAAAGAGGTATATATAAGCAGAACCCATTGTTAAGCCCCTTAAACTTCGCCCGTATTTTTGTGTAATCCCCTAAGATAACTTTTAAACAGATAACCTCCTAAACTGCGCGATAGTAAATTAGCCCCTTGTATGTAACGGCTACCGTTTATCTCCATTAATATAGCGGATGAGTCAAGCAGGTGCAGTTAGTTTCTCTTGACGGGACTCAAAAAAAAAAAGGATTAATTTCAGTTAAGTCCATGAACTATTTAAATTTCAATAGGAGTTAGTCCTAAACTTTACTAAAAATAAATGAAAACATTACAGATTCAAGGTATTTTCCACTCTAACAGCCCTTGCATTCTTTCTCTCATAGTACTAGCTAGAATTATCTGTGATTCAAAACGAGGCCACGTTTGTGGTCGAACTTAAAAGCCTTAAAAGTTGTCCTTTTACTGAATGAATGTAGCCATGCACTTATGGAGAAAGTTTAGACTATGACGGGGATCCCGAACCAATAAAAAGGTTACAGCTCATCGATGTAAAGGGAGAGGGCATTTCACGTGAAATTATGAAGCGGGTTATCGTCGTTAACGGAAAACTGGAAAGTCTTCGCTCAAAATCTTATTCCGCCTTCTTCAATTTATTTCCCCCTCTTTTCCCATGTTTAACGTTCCATTACTCCTCCACAGGGGTATTTCTAATGAATAATAATTTTCAAGCCACCACTTATTAGTATGGACAAAATTAAAAACCACAATAACGTGATTGCCAATACCTCATTTGCTCCACCATGAAGAGGACCATAGAGTACTCCAACTGCTCCAGCAAGAGCTGTGTATACATCAACTCCACTGCAAATATAGAGTGCAATCTTAACAACAGAATCCTGGATTGCTCTGTTTCAGTTCAAAACTAATAGACCTACCCTGACGCAAGATACCTAGCAGCAGCTGTTGAACAGTTCATTTCATGTTCTGCATGTAATATGAAAAGAATGTCCAGCACTCTAGCCAGTTGAGGATTGGGTTTCTAAGACCTATTGCCCCCGCAAAAATGATGGTATAAATTTTAGTTAGGCTAGAAGAGGCCTGCAATCTCATTATTCCAAAATGATAATATTATAAAACCAGACTACAGAACTATATCTTGAATACTCATTGGCTCATTGCTCCTATAGGACGATGTTGGAATAGAAGATCATGACCAATGATCAATTAAAATACAAACTATCAGGAAAAAAAGAGAATAGTTTTTTCTTCCTTGAAGATATTTTATGAAGTTAGTAATT